CTCGAAACTTCAGGAAGGGCGAATTTGGCGTCTTCACTTGCTACGACCAGGTCACAGTTGAGAATAAGTTCGGTTCCACCTCCGAATGCTAGGCCATTAACGGCTGCAATCAATGGTTTCGTTAGTGCCCTTCTTGACGATATTCCACCAAACCCGTGTTCGTGTAAATCATTCTCTGTCTTGGGTCGATCCAACCATCTGAAATGAATCAGATAAAGTAGAAAGAATCTGATACGTTGACTATACGATACCCTTTGAGGTCCTGTCCAGCGCAGAACGCCCTTCCAGTACCGGTTATGATGACGACCCTGTTAGAAGAGGTTTGGTATCACTACAGCGCGTAATTAGAACTCAAACGGACCATACTTCCGGCTCGTTCTCAGCCCAGTCGAGCATGCGCTCAATGTCTTCTTGCAACTCGGGGGTCATGGCATTCAGAGCCTTTGGTCTATTCAGCACGAGCAAGAGGACATGTGTAGCCGGACATGAGGTTATCAGATGATCTCCAGTAGCCGGAGGATTGAGTTTTTGTGGTATGGGTGGCATATGGCTCCTAGTTTGCTCGAAGGTGGGGGAAACCAAGTTTCAACCGGTCTATTCCTTCCCGTACCGGCTCAATTGGACGAACGCTCCACGGTCCATGTCAGACTCGCAGGGAAACAATAAATCTACTCCAGATGATGCTACTTTATTCGAAAGATGGCGACAAAGGGCTGCATGGATAACAGGCTTGGGCCTTTCGCCTGAAGACGTCAAAAAAAGAGACGAAATCGCTACTTTAAGGAGGTTGGAGAGCGATTGGAAGACTTGTGAGAAGCGAAAACATGAATTATTGCATAATAGTGAGTAATAAAAGTGGACAACTACCATCACTGTCCGTTTTCGTTTGACAACTGTCTAACCCAAGATCTTTGAATGCAGGTCCAGCGGTCACCTTTATGGTGAACCAATTAAAACTCATAAACTGCAATGTAACACCGGAACATTTTCAATGTCAACCATGCTTCCGAGTAAACTCTGGAGGGTTCAGCCCAGAGTACGGAATACTGCTGTGCCAAGACGGCTTCTTTAACAAGAAGCACATGGAGGATACAATGGTACACGAGATGATACACATGTACGACCACGCGAAATTCAAGGTGGACTGGACCAATCTCAAGCACCAAGCGTGCAGCGAGGTAAGAGGTTTACCAAACTCGTTACAGTGCCTTCCGGCTTCTAATCATATTGCAGATACGAGCTGCAAATCTAAGTGGCGATTGCAAATATCGCAGAGAGTTCATCCGGGGAAATTGGTTCAAATTGACCGCGCAGCACCAAGTAAAAAAGATTTACCCCATTTATCGTTATTACGAGCTCACATCTCCTCTCTAGTCATGTGTTCGGATGAGAGCAGTGCTTTCTGTTTCATCGCATCCTGAATGTCCCAGTCGCGAAGCTGCCGAGCAAGCCGTCAATGAAGTCTGGGATAGCTGCATTAAAGATACCCGGCCATTCGACGAGGCAAGTGGACTATTTCTACAAAACCGAGCCAGAACCCAATCTAATGTCGTCCTCAGATTTATTAAACCCGCCTCACCGCCATTAGGCAAACACGTTGAAGCTGTTCCTTCCCCGCTCACTAAGTTATATCTTGCCAGGGAGTCTAGAGCGCCTACTAGCATACTTTACTTGTACCAAGAGTACATTATTTGACCTTTTAGATGTCTCAAGAGAGTCGGAGAGCGGTTGTTGGATTTATTTCGATATTATTCACGTTAAGAGGGCACTCGGCTTGATGTAAAATAATAATGATATCGGTCTATTGAATGCCTCGAATAAGGAAATAGGACCGTTATGCATGGGAAGTGGCCGGTTGGTCCTTCACCTTCGACAGTTGTCGCATTCGGGCCATCAAACTGGTGAACACGTAAGAGTGTGCTTCGCTTATCAAAGAGGGTACATACTCATCGTACTGGCATCTAAGATTTGCAAACAAAGGGTCAGTCATCCCCACAACGATCTCAGTTCGGTTCTTACTTTTCGTATTCGTGCCTATAAAATCGGGGTGAGACAAGTTTCAGGGGAGACAAAGCTTAAAATACATACTTTTCATGCTCACATTCCCAAGGTAAGAACATGTTTTGCCTCCTACACTTGTTCAACGGTATCAACAGCCTATCCGAACGGTGATGTTAGAAATTGCGTAATAAATCTGGGACCAATACGGACGCGGAGCAGTGATCTCTCATTGAGACTGGCAAGTGAGCTTTCTTCGCCTCTTCCACAGGAGCGGTCGTTGAAGAAGGTGAAGACATGGCAGAAATTCGTCGAGGTGGTTTCAGTAGAAGGTGGCTGTGTTTCATTCACGACCTTGAGGCCAATGAAGGATTCACATTTTAAGCTGGACTTGTTTGGGCACGATCAGAATCGATTATGATACTCTTAGGAACCGTAAAGGCGATACCAAAGGGCGTATGCGCCGGAGATCTCCACTCACCAACGCCAAGAAGGCGGCTACAGACCCAGTCACCTTCTCGGAGTATCTCTATGGGCTGATAAGGAGGAACCAGAACGTTCAGTATCCCATGCCAGTGGTGAACTCTTCACGTGAAGGCGTATATTCTGTGGGGTTTATGGGAGGGGAGCGTGCTCTGAGATACGGCCGCTAAGAGTATGTACCTCGTCAATGGGAGTGGATGACTGACTGCACACATTCTCCGTTGACGGACCAGCTGCAAAGAGCCTTGAATAAATGCTATGTCGCCCAAAGGGGGGCAGTCCCAATCGTGGGCAGATATAAGCTGGTGCCCACCAAAGCAGTGGAACACAGGACACAAAAGAGAGTGTCCCTGTATAACGCGGGTGGAACTATTCACCGTACAATTTGGGCTGGTGGCGGGATACCGCAGAATACCGATGCGAATATAATGGGCTGAACCGGCCACCACCACATGTGAATGCATGTGGTTTTTTGTGTGAATGTAGCGGAATTCGATTATAGATGCACGAAATATATATATACCCGTGGTTGACCCATTTGTTGAGATTGTTTTGCTCTCCCGACCACTTTGCGTACGGTACGCTCGCAGTTGCGGCCTTAGTCTACTTAGCCACCGACGGGCGATTAGGTTTGGTATATGTGGGTGCACGCCCTTCAGTTCGTCATCGGCCGACTGATACCATTTCCAGAAATTCCACCAGAAACGACAAAAAGAGATTTCTTTTAAATTTGGGTAGGTGGCCCGAGTCGCTCTACGACGACAAAGCGGCTCAACAGCGGGGATTTCTGGTGTAAGGCAACCCTCTGCCCAGCGTTGCACCGTCAAAGGAGTCACAACAAACCTCGTCTCTTGCTCCCTCTCGCCTCCTACTTCACCTTCCAAAGCTCTCCAGGATGAGTGCATTGGATGATGACTACGAGGCTTTTCCACCTCACACCAGGATTCCCAACGACGAGCTGCTCGAGGTCTACGCCGAGCTCACAAACAATGGGGAATACGACCTCCTACCCTACGAGGAAGAGTGGAAACAACGTGGCCCGCTTTTGGACTTTTATGGCTACAAACTACGTCAACGCTACGAATTGGACTGGCAGCCCTCCTGGGTCGACACAAATCTCAACCCATTCTTCTGCGAAGACTCGATAGATTCGAGCGTATGTATTTTTATTATGCACTTTAGAGACGTTTTTGAAGCTGATGATGTTTGCTGGCGCAGACGCCGAACGTTATGGATGCCATCCGAACCCACGACGGACTGCCAGTGGCTATCAAAGCTACCCTCGGATGGACGCGTGAAGCCAGCATTGCCTTTTTATTTACCGATGGAGACGCTATCGAAGAACCTAGGAACCATTGCGTCCCTATTTTGGATACTTTTATTGAAGAAGATATTGTCTACCTGGTCATGCCGCTGCTCCGGGCGTTCAATGACCCTCCGTTCGTTACTGTAGCTGAAGTTATTGATTTTGTAGATCAGATGGTCCAGGTAGGCGACATTTCTCATGCGTTTAGACACCGGATTTACTCATCGACTTTTTCCTAGGGAATCGAATATATGCATGAACAAAATGTAGCACATCGAGATATCACTATTGGTAACATTATGATGGACGCTTCGGAACTGTACCCAGATGGCTTCCACCCTGTTCGCCAAAATCTTGCGCGAGACGGCCTTGCCGAGGTGGTTGGCGTTATGCGCACCCATGCGCCCGTTCGCTACTACCTTATCGATTTCGATGCGGCTATTGCTTTCGAAAAAGGAACACCGACAAAACTCAAGTACGCCGAAGGAAAGGCAGGGAGAGATGATGAAGTCCCTGAATTCAGGATCAAGGCTCCCTATGACCCTTTCAAGGTCGACATCTTCCAGTTCGGAAATCTCCTTAGGAAGGAGTTCCTGCAGGTTCGTACACCACCCGAACAAACTAATTAGTCGTATATTTACTCCTATGATTTAGAAATACTCGGGAATTGAGTTCCTCGAGCCCTTGGTGAAGGAGATGACACGGCCTCATGCGGTAGAGCGCCCCAGTGCCTCCAAGCTTCGCCTCAAGTTCAACACTATTCGGAACCGCCTCACTTCGAGTCAGATGCGCACCCATCTCGAACTCAAGGACATCACCGATCCTCTTCGGGAACGACTTCTCGCTCTTGGCATCGAATCCCTGCTGGACAGCGAGACAGATGATTCTCCCGAACAATCCTCATCCGAAGCTCCCACTACAGGTAATAGCAATCGCAGTCATGACAGTTACTGGTCTGTTGATCCTAGCTTGGATTCGTCTATGACTTCGCAATCTTCCGTAGAGCAAGCGGAGCAGGAACAAGAGCAATCCTCCCATGGTCCATTCCATATGATAACGAGTGCCTTGTCCAGGGCTCGTTCGCCGGGCCGCGCCACCTCCAAGGGCCCGGATTCCAAACCATCGGTCTGGAAGCCCGCAAAGATGGCTGATAGGCAACGCTCGCCTTCTCCAACCCCCATTTCCCCAGAGTCCATGTCCAGATCCTCAGACGATACACGGCCTTCCGCTAGATCCACTAGCCCTAAGCCGAAGGGACCATACCTCCGTACAGGTAAATTCCCTTGGAGCCGTTCAAGCTCGCCAGATTCCGCCGGAAGCCCTATCTTAGCCGTTGTCAACCAATTCCTCTCACCCGAAGCATCGGGCCTGTACGGAGGCGATGGCTTTGACTATGAGTTGGACCGACCTTATGAAACCCAAAAAGGATGGAGCCAAAACACTTATGCTGCCACTTATGCCAACTATGGTCCTTCTAAAAATGAGCTGCCACCGCAACCGGCGGCTCCACCCGTCACGGCCTCTCAGAACAATAACGCTGTTGGTGCTAATGCTGCACAGCAATCGGTTCCTGGGAGGAACAGACGCAATACCGTTAGTACCGCGAAACCTCTTGCTTCCTTTGAGACCATCGCTCCTTCATCGTTCATGAGTCCACCGCAAGGCGCTGCCGCGTCAGCAGCTGAGCGGGGTGGATGGGGCACGATCAACTCGATCTATGAGGAGCCAGAAGCGAACTCTGCTCAACCTTTCTATGGGGAGCAAGGCGCAAAGTCCACGATTTACAGCAAGTACAACAAATCAGTGAACGCACTGCCCTTGTCTTTGAACCAGTCCCAGTGGGAGCCTCCTGCCCCTCCTCAGAAGGAGACCATCCCCTTTGATCAGTTCAATAACAGCCCTGTCGATTTCTGGGGGACTGATGCTATGGTTAAATCCATGACGCAAGCTCCCTCGAAGCCTACTGCCACGAGACCAGTGGAAAGGAAAGAGTCCCTGGTTGACAAATTTGTCAAGCCCACAAAACCCTCAACCCCGATCCCCTCCAAAAAGAACGCACCCTCTCAAGTCGCATCATCCAGCCCACCTAAACCTACCATTCCTCCTACTCGACCATCATTGGCAACTATTGCGGGTAACCGCAAGAGTACTATTGGTGTTGAGGACGCCACTCCCTACAACACCCCTCCGAAATCGACCATCAACCTCCCTCCACCTACCGAGACATCCCCAACCA